AGGTGTGTCTGTGGTCAAACCTCTTGCCTTTGCCTCGGACTTTAAGGAGGCAGGATGGCTTGGATAAACTATAGTGCAATCCAGAAATAAAGGCACAGGATGGTTTGGGTCAGAAGGGACCTTAAACTCATCTTGTTCCACCCCTACCATGGCCAGGGACATCTTCCACTATCCAAGGTTGCTCCAAGCCCTGTCCAGCCTGGCCTTGGACACTTCCAGGGATCCAGGGGCAGCAACAGCTTCTCTGGGCACCCTGTGCCAGGGTTTCACTGGCTCAATCAGTGCCATCTACTGAACAGTATTATTTTAGTATTTATTTTAGCCTTTTCCCCTAAAAAGGCTCATATTTGTAGCCATATCCAAATGTTAGTCTGTTTTATTGTAATTCTGCTCCTGGAGAATGAAGAGTGCTCATAGCTCTTTTCTGGGCTGCCAGATATTTAATCATAAACTCATTTTACTGTGAATGTAGTTGTTTAGCAGCAGAGAATTGTGGCTTTGGATTTTATTTGTGGAGCAGGAGAGTCCCTGCTGCTGCTGCAATCCCCCTTTTCCAAGGACAGCTGGGTTACCTGTACTGCCACACAAATAGTGACCACGTTTATCTGTCCTTCGTGCAGAGCTTCTGCCAGACTGAGGAACATTCCACTACAAATCAGGTGCTGTTTTAAACTTCCTTTGTTCTGTAAGCCTGGTGGATTGGAGAGTTCAGCCTCCATATCCATAGATACATAAATATGCCCTGTGTGGTCTCCCAAGGGGAAGGCAAAATGTGTTTTTAGTTAAGTTGCATGGGAATTTAATTGAAAGATTTAAGGCAAAGTCATAAAAGAGTAAATCATGGCTGCGTGACACAAAGAAGATTTATAAAGCCAAATAAAAATACTTTAGCACCTTCACTATTATAATTTGCTTGATATAAATGGAAACCCGTATTAGTCATTTTGTCTGCTGGTAATTAAAAAAAAAAAAGGGGGGGCTTTTAGATTTTACTGACTTTCAGTTGTTTGGAGTGAAATAATGGGGAAGACACTGGCAAAGGGCAGAGAATTCTGTGGACATGTCACATCTCTGAACCTGCAAGTGCACTCAGCTTCCTTCCCAGGAATATTTATTTTAGTTAAGCACATGCTTAACTAATTTCACACAAGCAGCTCCTCAGAAGGACTGTGAACTGATTGAGATGAAGCATGAGCATGGCTTTAAACTGCAGCTTGTGTGGATGGTGGGCCTGAAATCTGGCCAGTCTCCAGGGCAGTGGGGCTACTGCACGTGGGACGGTCCTGCTCTGTGCAAGAAGGTCACTTGTCACACAGCAAAATCCTCAGAGATATTTTGGAGAGGAGAGCTGGGGCAGAGCTTTAGGAATGTGACCTTCAGCACAGGTTTAGTGAGGATTCACTCACTGTATTTATTGGAGAGCACTGTATATATTAAATGCTGCAGTGTTGATAGGTCTTGATAAGGACACCATAATAGCAGTTGAATTGTAGGGGGTTTTGTGAGATGGTAAGTTAATGATGTAGCTGTTAATTTGAATTTAGCAGACGTTTTAAATATAGGTTTCTCTTACAGAGACAAAAGTTGCAATTTAAAGCTCTTTGGTGGTCTAAAAACAGCTTAATTCTCTAGTAGCATGGTAATAAGTACTAATCCAGCTTATACAGTGATTGTAGTATGTCATGTTTGTGAAAGATTGCCTAACTCTGCTTTCTCTGGGTTTTATGTTAATTTTTTTAAATTAAACATAAAACCTTATAACATCTTTATGCTGAGATAAACTGTTCAATTTAACTTGTGCTCAAGCAGCAGCTGTCAGGAATTATCATGTTTTGAGCGTTCTTGCCATCACCTTGTGTCTCTACCTCCCGGATACACTCTGTGGGATGATAAAGCTCACCTTGTTAGGATTTATTACTTAAATAATAACCCGAGGTAAAATGAAAGTTGATGTCACACGGAATGACAACTGACATATATTTATGTTGCACGTTCCATTATAATAAACTTTCCTTTCTTCCCCTTGTAATAGGTGTTAAATGGAAATACACTCCAGCATATCCTCCAGTGCCCTGCGTGAGTCCATTAGCCACGAGCGCGGCTGCTCTGTGGGCATGTTCACGGGGACCCGTGCTGTCAGGTGCTATTTAAGCTTGTAAAGCCAGGGAAATTGGTTAGTGCTGGTAGTTAGCAGCTTCTCTGCCAGTAAAGAAGCAGCCATGAGAGCCTCTCAGAGTCGGGATAAATTCTGGAAGTGCCGTGAAGTAACAGAGCTGAATCAAGGAGGGCGGTTCCTAATCAGTGATTTTATTTTAATTCTTCTCCTTGCTGTAAGAAGCACAGGCAATGTCATTTCAGGCTCTACATCTGAATTTGCTAGTTGTCACCACAGTTTTCTCTTGACACCAGTTTATTGTGCTGAGCTGGGCAGTGATAAGCGATCTGCTTGTTAGTTGTGTCTTATCACTTTCTATTTACAGTGGAGGAAATTTAGATCTACCTCTTGCAAGCTTTTCAAGTTTTCAGCCTTTTTTGCCATGCTAGAAGCCAGGCTCCATTGTGCTCTAATGATGCTATTGAATTCCTCCAGTTTGCCTAAGCCAAGACTGGAGACACTGGGTTTTCTGCCTGTGGCTATAGCCATAATTTTTTTTCTCCTAATTATCCCATTGTTGATCTGATCAAGTTAAGATGCATCAGAGCTACATGGTTTTGTCCAAGCTTATTTCTTGGATCTCTTCTCATTGTGTTCTCCATTGTCCTTTTCTCTCCAGTCAGTGTGTTAACCTTGGCACCTCCACTGTCTGTACTTCCCACCCTTGCTCTGTGCTGGTTTCCCTGGTTTCAGTCCCAATGTACTGTCTTTTCCCCCTCTCATCCTTCAAACTCAGCCAGGTTTATCAATACCATCCTGTATCAATTCTGTTTTCTTCCCTAACTCATGGCAGAAAAGAATTTTTTGAAAAATCAGTAAAGGGAAAGATAAACTATAATGCAATCCAGAAATGGAGTCCTAGAATGGTTTGGGGTGGAAAGGACCTTAAAACTCATCTTGTTCCATTCCCCTGCCATGAACAGGGACTTTTCCCACTGTCCCAGGCTGCTCCAAGCCCTGTCCAACCTGGCCTGGGACACTTCCAGGGATCCAGGGGCATCCACAGCTCCTCTGGGCACCCTGTGCCAGGCCCTCCCCACCCTCACAGGGTCTCTTCCTATTTCTTCCTTTATCTAATGTGGACCTATCCTTTTTTAGTATTAAGCCATTCCCCCTTGTCCTGTCAATAGCCAAAATTTTTCCAAGCATTTCCTCTCATTTTTGCACGTTTTGGGATATGTTTTCTTTAGTTTGCATTTTTCTTTGTCACTGTGGTGCTGAGCAGGGATTTCACATTGCCCCTAGTAAGCTTTTCCTGCTCTGCTTTGAGCCTGGCACCCAGGTTATTATGAGGTCCAGAGGTCATTACTCACAGTGACAAATAAATAATGACTTACCTAAAACTATTTTTTCCTCCTAGTATGGCTCATAATAAACTTGAGCTCATATCTTAATTGGCATTCTGTGTGACAGGCCCTTTAGAACCATCAAATATTTGATGAACAAGGCAATAACAGTCATCTCTTACTTTTGTAAGCCTTTCAGATCAGCATTGACCCAGGTTGATGAAGATGGATACAGGATCTATGCTCTAGGAAGTGTTTGTTCTGTAGATACAGGTTATCTAAGAAGGGTGTAAGTTAGCAGAGATATGATATGATATATATGATCTAGATGGATGTTTGGGGAAATTAATGAGTTTTGAGGTTGGCAGCCAGAATCAGAAGTTTATCACATTAGTGATGTCAGTTTGGCAGTCATCTTGAACACAAAATTAATGTAAAAATAGAAAGAATGGGAATAACAGTATGGAAAAAAAAACCAAAACCCTTAGAAAAAATATTTTCAAATAATAAAACATTGCATAAATCAGTTCTGAATCTGAATTGATAAAATAGTGGATAGAAAAAAAAAACCCAATTCAAAAACAGTCTCTGTTGAAAAGTAGCATATTAAATTTAATGTTCTATCTGTAATTGATACCTGATTTCAATTGTTTCTTTCTTCTGTGATAAGACATACAGGACACAAATATATGAGGCTCTTCAGCTCTGTGCAGCTTCAGGTTTCACTTTGCTTGGAAGCAGTGCTAGCCAGGGGCCAGGAGATGCTCACATGCTTTTGGTGAAATGCAGGGAAATCTACCACTGGTTACAGTAGGGTCAGGATTTCATAGTACACATTTATATACATTCATTTTCTGATAGCCTGGGAAGTTACACAAGGCTAAGATAGCAGCTTGTTAGTGGTGTTTGTGCCTGCTTTATCTAATTGAAGGATGTGTGCAGTGTTGTGGACTGTGGAATAGCAGGAGTGCAGTGGCAGGACTGGGGTGCAAGGGTAGAAACAACATTTCATTATAGAGGATACCTAATAAAAATGTGAAAATAAAACAGAAAAAGTGTGGGAAAAAAAATAAAAAAAGAAAAGCAGACCATACTAGATAAGTACAGTGCATAAATCAAAAGGGTTTGTGTCATAACATGAACATGTGCCATTCCTGCTCATATATTGAATTTCAGTAGTTGGTTGCATAAAGAAGTAAAATGTAATGAAACTGGCAAGCAAAGTATTCCCTAGCCAGCCTTATCTTTGTTCCATTTGTCCTTCAGATACAGCTTTTCTTGCCTTTTTCAATAAAATCCATCCAGCTTTTTTTTTTTTTTATTATTTTGCATCTCTCTGTAACTGAGCTGGGAAGACCGATGAGATTCGGTGCTTTTCTAGTTGGGTTCTTAGCAGCTGTTTTTTAAGAGATCAAAACTTCGAGTGCTGCTACATGGTATTAAGGCTTAGCTATTGATGTGTCCCTATAGGGGTTATGTTTTTCTTGGGGGGGAGGCAGTGGGGAGCAGGGGAGGGGTGACCCCTGCGAGCAGTAAACACTGCTCTCCTTGTTTTGCAGGATCCTCTTTGCAAGCTCGGTGCTTAACCTGGCTGAACTCACCGCCCTCCGCCCTGACCTTGGCAAATTGAAAAAGGTCCTCTACTTCCATGAGAACCAATTGGCATATCCTGTCCAGAAATGCCAGGAAAGGGATTTTCAGTATGGATACAACCAAATTCTTTCATGGTAGGTGTGGCTCGCACTGCTCCTCGCTATTTAAGGTGTCCTTCTGTTTCTACAGCGTTGTAACCCTGAGGAGTCCTTCTCCATATACTTTTTTTTGTATTAATTATAATTCTATTTTTATTTTGTATTAATTTTTAAAATTAATTATTTTGTATTAATGTTTTACAAGACCATGTGGTGGCAGGAGATGAAGGATTGACCTCAAATGGAGAGTAGAAAGTAGGTTTAGATGGGATATTAGGAAGAAACTCTTCCCTGTGAGGGTGGGCAGCCCTGGCACAGGGTGCCCAGAGAAGCTGGGGCTGCCCCTGGATCCCTGGAAGTGTCCAAGTCCAGGTTGGATGGGGCTTGGAGCAACCTGGGGGAGTGGAAGATGTCCTATGGCAGGGGGTAGTGCTGGTTGAGCTTTTTTGTCCCTTCCAACCCAGGTTATTCTGTGATTCTATAAACGATAACCCTGTACCAAACTGAGGTGCCAGCAGAGTTCTGAAGAGAGCTTGATAAAATCAGTGTGACTGAACCACTTTGCTCTAAAAAATCATCTCAATTTATTGTACAAAGTCCCCCCATGCTGCCATGGTGTACCCATTGCTGGTGGGATTTCTGACCTGTGCCTTGGCTGAAAGTGATGCTTTGTTTCCTGGATGCTTCACAAAGCTGCACTACTCAGCTCGTGCTTGGCCATAGCTTTTACTGCATCCAGCTGAAATTATGGAGAGGGTTTTAGGGAAATAAACAGAAATTAAAATGTACTGCAGCACTTTTCCTGTGAAGAGAGGGCAGTAAACATACCAGATAAATCCTTATATTTCTTTCATCTAGTATTCAGAAATTGTGCAGTGCTAAAATACCCAGACATTTTAAAGGCTGTGGTCCTTTATTGTTGCTAAAAACAAATGTATTTCTCGAATCTGAGTTAATGAAAGAAGTTAATAACAGCACCACTGAAAAGCTTTGTGGTTAGACACTGCACAGACCTAAGCCAAACAGCAAAACTCACTTGTTTTCAACTGAAATAAATTCATTTCCGTTATCTTCCTTACGTCTCTCTTGGTAGAAGAATTATAAAGAATAGGGCTTGAGCATTTTAAGGTGCAAGTTAAGCTTTTGCATCTTTATAATCTAAGGCAGTTATGTTGAAATTTCTCAATTAATGATCTGTGTATGCTCTGGCCATTCTGCAGCTGCCTCTGCCACAGTGTTTGCAACATGTTTCACTTACTGAGCTGTAAAGATGGGAGAGTGGAGTGAAAAATCTTCTGAAAACAGTAGCAGCCATTTTCAGATGTTCTAACAAAAGGAAGTGTTTTCTGGCACTAGGAAAGGAATCTTCTTTTTTGTATATATATATTTTGCTTTATTTGTGGCAACTATTTTTCGTACATCTGTTGTAAACAGACAAACATTTATCCTCAATATGCATTTTAAGTATTTTCTCTTATGAGATAAATAAAAATGATTTTTGTAGCTCACAGAATCATGGAATGGTTTGGGTTGGAAGGGATTCTGAAGCCCACCTTAATCCAACCCCCTGCCATGGGCAGGGGACATTCCACTAGACCAGGTTTCTCCAAGCCCATCCAGCCTGGCTTTGGACACTTCCAAGGATGGGGTAAGAGATGCTCAATTCTACCCCATTCAGCCTCTAGTATCTGCTTCATGTAGTTCCATAATACTCATCTCCCATTTCTGTTCTGCTGAAACCCCAATCTAACAGAAAATTGGAGCCATGTCCTCTGTATTATTCTTCACACTCCAGTGGTCATCTGCAAATAGGTGCCATCGTTTCATCTTCCAAATATGTTAGAAATGGGGAAAATATACCTTTCCACTTTTACACAGAGGCTTTGGAGATTATTAAAATTACAGCACTTTGAAACTTCAGGTTGGTGCTTTGGATCATTAAAAAATCAGAATTCTGATGTTTCTAAAGAGTTAATCTTTCTAATTTGCCCCTGATTTGCAGAGCCTGCAGGAAGGAGTCAGGGCAGATAAGAGTTCATGCAGGAGAGAAGGTGAGATGATGTTGGAGCCTTTGCTGCGTGTCAGAGAGCAGCAAAGAAATTGTTGGGTTCCTGCCTCATGTCATCTGAAAATCAGTGCAGAAAAGAAAACTTCTGTACAAAACTGAGGCTTCCAATGGGTTAAAAACTGTAGGTGGGCAAGAGGGTAAGATGCCAGAAAGCATTTCAGCTCCTGCAGCCAGCTGGAAAAGGATTATTTCTCTCTAATGTTGGAATTTCTTTGCTTTTCCTGCTGACTCCTGCTGCTTTGGTGAGCAGTGTCAGTTCTCTTTCTTGACCAGACAGCAGAAGGATGCAGAGAGGATGAATGACAGCCTCTCACCTCAAATATACTTTTCACCAGCCCTGTGACTTATGAACACATGTCCTCAATGTATCTTCTGACCTGTAGGTCTGTATTACAATATATAACATACTGAGAAAACCAACTGGCCATAAAGCATTTCTTACCTCAGTTAGTGCTGGTGTAGCTCAGGTTGTAGCAGCACTGCTGGGATAAACTTCCAGATCCTTCAGGTTTTTTATAGCTGCTTATTTTCTCCAGACTGACTCTAAGAGTGGAGAAATAATACCTGCATTATCATTGAACTCTCATCTTAAAATTATTGATCTGGTAGATTTTTAAAACACAGCAGTAGAAATAAAACATTAAATTTATATGCCAATTATTTTCAAACTTTTATGAGAGGGATGGATATTGTATGCTATGTATTTTATTTTTATATATAGAGGATATACTCTTAATCAGGATTATGTTTGCATAGGTTAAAATAACAATCCATTTCCTTAGTGTCCTGCTGCCTGACACACATGGTCAGTTGAAGGTAGGTTAACCAAAGGTAAGTTGTCCTTCAATTAAAAGTTTTTCTGAGGAATTTTCATTTTCTTCTGACTTTAATTCTACAAAAGTCAGATTACAGTGATCTTTATCAGTTCATAATGCTTCTGTGAGATTTTGAGAGTAACACTATACTTATCATTTTATGAACAAAACTCCACAGCTAGAATAGGATGTGCTCCTTTAGATTAATAATAGTAATTTTTTATTAGTTAAAAAAGGTTAAACATGTTTTTAAAAGGTGAATAGAGAGAAATTAAGACATTTCTGATTAAGGTACTTATGATACTCATAATTCACATGAAAAGGTTGATTTTAATTAGCATCCACTTACACCTTTTGCTTGCTTATGAGAATCTGTATCCTATTTCCTTTGCCTGTAGCATAATCCTGCTCCTTTTGTGCCAGCAGTATGTTCATTAATCTTCACCGATTTTTACAGTTTGGTTGCTGATGTTGTGGTGTTCAACTCTGCTTTTAACATGGAATCCTTTCTTAAATCCATTGGAAAATTTATGAAGCTGATTCCTGACCACAGACCTAAGGATTTGGAAAAAATAATCAGACCGAAGTGCCAAGTTCTTTATTTTCCAGTCAGGTTTCCTGATGTGAGCAGGTCAGTACATTTTCCACGTCATAAATTGCCTCCAGCCTGTCAAAACTCTGTATTTATGGTGACGTTCTAACTAATCAGCTAAAGCATCGTTAATGAATGAGTTTGATAATATGCAAAATCCCCTAATTGATAAATGTATTTCAATAATCAGGGGCTATTGAGGCAGCCGAGCCTGTCCTCAGTGCCTGTCGTGCAAACTTGCATCGTTCAGGATGAGTGATTTCCCACTTGTTGTAGTGATTTCCCACTTGTTTCAGCCTTCCAGGAGTTGCCTGCTCCTCAGTGATGAGTTTTTGGGGTTTTTTTCTTAGGGTTGGGATTAAATGTGTGAGATGGTATTTTTTGTTTGGATTTAGATGTTTATTAGTGTTTATTTATATTACAGCAAGGTTTATAGTATTTTAATAAATTAAAAAGGTAGTATTTTAATAAATTAAAAAGGGATTTTTTTTCTTTATAAGATTTTTTTAAGGATAAATTGTGTAATTAAGAAATGATACCGAAATGATTTTTATTTTTAATTTACTTGTGGTTTGTAATGTGGATTTTTAAAAATTATATAATATTACTTAAGTTTATGAAGAAGGTGGAGAAGAAGGATTAGCTTTTATTTTAAAACTTTTATTTTGTTTTAGATCTATTATTATATTTTAAAACTTTAAGTTCTGAGATTTGTATCTATGTGATATTACACGTTGTTATTTACACACTTATGATTAAATTACACACTTACGGTTTTATTTTTATTTACTTTTGGAAGTTTTCTTTATGGTTTTAGGTTAAATGTAGTGTTTTCTTGGGATTTAGTGTTTGTTTAGACAGAAATTTTAGACAGAAAGTCTAAAATTCTCAGTAAGCAGGGTTCCATCACCTCGGCTCTGTGCAGGGGAGGTCGAGGAGGAGACAGAAATTCTGGAGAGCAGTGAAGGTGATAAGGAGCTGTTTTATCCCCTGCTCCCTCCCCTACCCCTTTTAGTGTCTGTGCAGGTGGGCAGGAGCATTCCTGTGGCAGGAGCAGCCCTGCAGATGTTGGCATTTGCTGCAGCAGGAGTTGCTCTTCGCTCCTCCTCGGTTACTCTGAAGGACGTTTTTTATTGCCCTCGTTTCAGAGCCCGCCTTGAAATTAGCAGTGGGTTATGTGGCTCAAAGGGAACATTCACAGGATCCTTTTCACTTTTGATTAAACCTGGCACAATTGTTTTTCCTGTTATAAGGGACTCTCCTCCCACTGAACAGGAACTTTGCTTCAGTGGGACCAGCACTAAATAGAGTGTGATTCTGCAATTTGATTATACTCTTAAACCCAACACCGTGCTGGGTAAATTTTTTTTGCTGAAATAAGGGTGGGAAGCATTGCAATGACTTTGCAAGAGCCCACCTTTTGGTGTGATAATAAGTTCTAGCCACACTTGAGATGTTTTCCCTGACCAGCCTGTACTTAGAGTTATTTCAAAGGCCAAATATACATGTGTGTTAGCTTGAGGAAGAGGAATTTTTAGTGCAAGAGCTGAGGTCGTGCACTAGCTGATATACTTAAACTGCAAGGTTTGAGTTTCAGCGTCTTGGAAAACTTTGTATTCTAAAATACTGATGCAAATCATTTAGTAATCAATGTCTAAAGTTAAATCTTTAAACGTCTATTTTTGGCAAGTGGGTTAAAATCCTCCAGTGGTTCTTAGGGACTTGGCTGCCTGGATGGCAGCATAGTTCAGTACCTGCAGATCTTTGAGGATCTACTATTCCCTCTGAGAGCCCAGAGCTTTTGAGCACGGGGAATGCTGTGGGTGCTCAGCATATTTGACATGGAGCCAGTTCCAGAGGCTCTCAGGGTTTTGGAATACCTTAGGAATCATGTGGCCCAGACCTAGTTTTGGAGATGAAGTTATGATAACCCTGTCTTGTATATTACATCATCTCTTTTGGACTTGTCAGCCTTGGCAGATGGGGTCAGACAAGATCTGACAAATTAGGCTGAAGTCATCATATGCACAGCACTCATTTGTCCAAAGCAGAAGGTGATTAGGTGGGTAAAATCATGAGCCTGCTACCTAAACTGGTGCAGCAGGAAGATCTCAGATCTCACTGTGTGCTCTTTTAGAGTCCTGCTCTCATATTAAATCTCATCTCATGAGGCAGGGCACCTTTCCCATTTTATTGTGGTCGCTGCATTTGGGATTATATCAGAAACCTCTTTTCAACACTGATGGGAAAGATTAAGATATTCATAAACAACTGTGTGACAGTAAAACTTTCACAGCAGAGTGATTAGAAACAAAAATTAATGTCAGCTCTATTTATTCAACAGCTAATTCTAGATATAAGATCTGAGGTGTTTAGACAAAGTCCAATACAATACAACAGGAAAAAAAACTGAAGAAAAGACTGCTTCTGCCTGACTCTGAAGTTCTTTGGGTTTTGACCTTCAGCTGCAGCCAAAATTAGCTATTTCTTTACATGTTTTACATAAAGTTGAATGCACCTGTGGCAATTCAAAGCTGGTTTTTAAATTTGGATTGTACTAATATAGTGACTGAATGGAGATTGAGGAGAAAAAGGTTAAGAAAAATTGTGGCCAAGCTAAAATTTATAAAGCAAGCTCTTAGCCCAGAGTGATTTTCAAGTTATTTTCAAATGGTAATTTGCTTTATCCAAACCAAACTCATACAGTGTAAGTAAGTGATTATTTGCATGACTGACAATCATTTCAGTGCCTGCAGTCTTTTTAAAATGCATAATTTTGCTGAGATGTTGGGAAAATACTTAAAAATTCTGAAGGCAAAATAACCAGGGTGGGTTTTTAATTTTTCTTTTTTTTTGACCTCTTTAATTTTGCGTGTGAATGTCTCAGTCTGTGTTCTTGTCTGAAACATAATCTACCTTTGGGTTGGGGAGAGAGAGGTGATCTGAGAAATCATCCTCACATGTGTGATGGGGAGCTTTTTAAGATTATTTTAGATTAATATTGCAGTTGTAGGGCAAAATAAAATACATCTGAGCCTTGATCAAAACCAGTGTAATGAAGTCATGTCACAGGAGTTAATCCTGTAAAATATCTACCTTTTAATGTAATTACTGTAGGTGATGGCCACAAACAGCACAAGCAGCATAGTAAATGATCACTTAAGAGGAGAGGTATAATGATGAAAGATATCCTAGGAAACACTTGTGGATACTCTGAGAGGCACCACTATAATTTGTAGTGTATATTTAAATATTTCAAATGGGCCTCTAATGGGCTTTTCTACTTCTGAGGGGAAGTTGTTGATGCTTTTTTATAAAGAATCTTTTTTTTTTTTTTTTAATAAATGTTTGTCGTTACGACTCACGTTGGTGTTCCAAAGCAAACCCAGCAGACTGTGGTCCTTATCTGGCAATGAGAAGAGATGAAAGGATTTGAGGATTTGACAGAATAAGATATTTACTGACCTAATCCTCCTGTTTTCTGGTTCTGACAATGACTGCTTTCCATATTATATCCTGTGGTGCCAAGGCTGCTCCGTGTATAACCACCTTATATGATTTGTGACTTGAATTCTGTTCTTTGTCCATTCTGGTGAGGTATATGATGTGGGAGTAAATAGTAGAGTATTTCTGAGCTTCGAGACAAAAATCCCCCCTGAATTCAGTCTGTCCCTTCACAGTGCATTAGTGTTGCAAAGGATGGAGAGCAGTGGCTCATCTGCCATGTGTGCTGTATCAGACTGGGGATTTATAGCACAGAGGTAAATACATTGTAATTCACACATACCTGGCCATTGACTTCATTTTAGTATCTTTTCTATTGTAACAGAAATAAAATCCAATTTATTTTTCGCTCAATAGGTCAATTTTTTTTATGATCAGTGGAGTCTGTTTTGATACAACCTTTTCCACTTTTGCACTGTAAAGTGATGGTCAAGGAAGAAATTCCCTTTTGACTGGTGTTATCTTTGGTACTTCTCTACATGCCAGCAGAGCCCTCTGGAAAACTTCTGCAAGGTTTTTGTGGATATTTGGATATCCACTGGACCATTATCCTGGTCTAGTGGAAGGTGTCTCTGCCTGTGGCAGAACTTGATGTTCTTTAAGCTCCCTTCCAGCCCAATCCATTCCATGATTCTGTGACATTATAGGAATTCTCTCATCCCATCTGTGCCCACATTGTCAGTGGCAGTTTGCAAAGCAGGGTCAGATTAGGTACTCCTTGAAATTCATTCCAATGAAAACTTCAATTTAGATTTTGGTTATTATTACTATTCCTCTGATTGTAGTATATCTTTATTGTTACCACAATGTGGTAGGAAAGGAAGATGTTTTTATAAGCAAGAATGAAGTAACGTTCCTAAGAGCTCAAAATTCACATTGGACTGAGGCGGAATAAAATAAAAGAAACATGAGAGTATGAGGATTACAGCAGAAAATAAAAACTGCTTTTTAATTTTTTTTAAGTGGAACTTGTATTATCTGCATTACACATTTTGAAGTAGAATTAAAGATTTTAGACTTGTTTCTTCATTTGCTTTTATAACTTAGTGCAGTTAACAGGACATTCTCAACCATTTGGGCTTACATTTTTTTAGTTATAGTGTGAGAAAGGCAGAATTTGCCAATTCAGAGAGTATTTTAGGCCCAGTCAAGGGAGCTCCTGAGTAAAGCAGAAGTTTATAAAAGACACTGACATTATCTCTTGTGCTGAAACATGTGTAAAGGAGCCTGTTTTGGAGAAGCAGAAAATGTTAAATAAATTAATTGCATCACTTGGCTCAGGTTTACAGGGCTGAACTTAACTGGAAAAATGCAGATGTCAATGAGCAGGGAGAGACTGGAATTCACAGGAGCCCAGAGCTATGGATGGGCATTGGGGATGTGTCTGTTGCAGGGAAAGCTGCTCAGCAGTGGTACCCATGTGAGCTGTAGTGAACTGTCTTGCATGTGGGAAGCCATAGATAGCTTAGAAGAGCAGTTTTTGGCTAATTAGCCTTCCAGTGAAATAGCATGAATTAGCTTAGGTGGAGTGCTAA